ATCTGGGGTAAACACTCCGGGTGGAACTGATCACTTGGAATGCTTGCCGGATCCACTCCAACGACGGATATCTTCTGGAGATATCGAGACTTTACATGGCTTTCAAGACCTTTTACGTAGTCAGAAAGCACGGGAATATTAGCAGCAAGGCTTTGCAAGTCTTCACAAGCTTTTTCTTCAGATAGGTCCATTTCCAAACCGATTTATAGCGCAGAAAACTAAATAGCTTTGCAGAATTGGCCTTCTACTTAACAACAATTTCAGGGGCCAGGGGCACCAAGATGGCGGATGCCCAAATATGGAAACTCTAATGACGTCAGGTGAAAACCAGCAATAGGATTGATGTGCTCCATGTTTGTATTGGAAATGAGTAATGGCATGGCAACAATGAGTTCACATGGTTAGCAGATGATACCCCAGCGAGGGTGACAATATGGTGATTACCTGATTGCTATATTTTTATCTACCGACTGCCAAATACTGCTTGATAAATGGCAGGAGGACCAGGAAACCTACTTCAATAAATAACATTGTAACATGGTAGTTGTCATTATTTAAAAAATTGGGTTGGTTGTTGGTGTCAGGAATCCCATAGGGTTAACAAGAAAGAATCTGGAAAATTCTGCTTCGCAAGGGGAAGGACAAGAGCTGACCACATTATCTGCATCACTAAGGTCTGAATCACGTTTTGTATCAAGGAGGACAGAAAAAGCTTATCCAAAGAACCTTCGTTATTACTACTTCAAGGTAATTATTCCATGACCCGCTCACAGTTCAAAGGAGAACTAGAACATCGAGGGAAACCTTGGTCGCCATGAAAATCATTTACAGAAACCGTGTTGTCAAAACTGTATTCAGAGAAATCAGATCAGTCTTATCAAGAAGTTTGTTTGTCATGGTGAACTTCTTCGAGTACTTTCTTTCAGTTTTCTTCTCCAAGCTATAGTTTTTGCAATCTTTGCTTCTTTGGAACAACTCCAAGATTTGTATCTTCGCTTCCCTCTGCAGGCTACGTTAATGATCGTCACTTAGCCAATGAGTGGCAAAACATCAAAGTGGAATCAAAGAGTTGTAGCAGGAGTCACGGAACTAGGTTTCTGATTGGCTCATGTAGTAGAACTCACAAGAGAAGAATCTATGCAGCTGCAGTTACACCTTGAGAAATATTTCACACTTCTTGAGAGAAAAAAGTTAAACCTGCGTATCAATTATAATTCGAGGGTCCTTACAAGTTCAAAGATGCAAAGATCTCAAGATTAAAGCAACACAGCATGATTACGAAAGTTATGGAATGGTGGAAGATAAAACTTTTGGACGGCAAGAAACAATTAGTTGGCTCTGTTACCAACATCGGTTTTCCAACAGGCCAGAAAGTTTGGTGCTACTGGAAGACTGTAGACGGGAAAGAAAAATGCTATTTCTAGGGAAAATTCATCGAAATTTGGGATGATTCCTACGTTAAAGAGATCGAAGCAGATGAACATCAGATGATCCCCATAGCAAACCATGACATATTTGAACCATTCGAAGAGAATGAAGGAAATTAAAAAATCATGCAGCTTAGGCTATCAAGAAGTATCAGCTTGAACATGGTAGTGGCAGTCGCAACATGGTTAGTGACCTCTCTTCCCACAGTGACACTGCCAATGGGAAATCACTATGGATACATCAAAGAAAACGAAAGAGTCACCCGCAACATTCCCAGAACCAAGTAGCAGGCTACGGTTTATCAATGGTTTATCTAACCACAAGAACAGTTCCACCAATCGGGAAGACACAAATGGCAAAAACAGGAAACTGCGGCACATACTAGCCATTTTTTGTGATTTTCTGTGACTGTGCCACATGGCCCGACAAGTACCAAATTTGACAGACTCCGCCTCAGAAAGCATGGCCAACTTTAGAGCTTTACTGTGAGTTTTTTTAATTTGAAAATCTTTGCAATCTGACATCCTCTAGTAGGATATAAATTTCTAATTTTGCTTTGTTTTCATCCATAGCAACTTTAGACAAGACCTCAATGACAAAGATGTGCCACTTTCAGCTGCACTACACAAAGGGGTTTTATTCAACAGAAATCGGGACCAAGAATATTCCAAAAATCTATTGACAGCATATGCTCACTATCCCTACTATGCAAGTAACAATCAAGCTATTCCTTTACAGTATGTCCCACAAGTGGCTTCGTGTTCTTGTAGTACGACCAGCATTTCTCAAGCCAAATGGCCTGAGAAGAGTGACAGAAGTAAACGCTCAGGCTGGGAAAACGTTGAAGCATGAAGCTCAATTACTGCTTACCGAGAGATTGATAGCCCTATTGTTTAATAGTTCCTGGAACCAATTCCGTGGACGAGGGAATACCCAAGCACATCTTAGCCGGCGAATATTTTTAAGGCAAGAGGCTCAATAAAACAAATAGGCAACTGGAGGGAATGAAAAGTCGCTTAAGAGAGCTTGGAGAGCTGAAATTGATGGACCAAGGGGGGAGTTATTAAAGATATTACAGTTACATCAATTCACAAGACATCTCATGACCTGGTCAGACCATTCCAGCATTATGAACCATTGCCACCTTCTGCTAACTTTAAGTGCAATCTATGATCCTACATTCTACTATACTTCTGAAGAGCTCCATGGGAAGAATGTTCAGGAGTTAGTACAGAAGCCTTACATTTACATCATGGCTAAATGAAGGGATACCATTGAAGATCAGCTGTTATACAGTGAAACTAGGCTGGAAGATCTAAATGAGCTCAAAAATCAACTTTTGTCCTCCCAAAAGGTCTCCACTAAGGACATATGCAGGTTCTTTCATGGGGCCGGATCATCCTTTGCAAGAGGTGGAAAGTGGAGAGCAGATTGGTGGTGGCTTTGGGTGCCGTGGATGCACTGGAGCATCAGCCAGCTATATTGACCATGTGATGTGGTTCACTGAGGGCACCACACATTACCCTCGAATAAAGAAGAAGAAAGGTACTGGAAGGTCCAGCTGGAAAAGAAAGAAGAAATTGTGGAGCGCATCCTTTCAAAAACATGAGCAAAGAAGAGCTGATAAGATAGTGCAACGGACGGCACTTACTGGTCGATGGTTTTCTAAAACCTGCACTGGAATCTAACCGATCAATGAGGTGGTATCCTTAAAAAAACCGCGCAGATGATACAGAAGTAAGAATAGATTGCGAATAATTTTTAGGTGAAGAGACCAGAGGCGGGGCCAGAGGGTCATGTATGGAGAAACGTTTTCACAATTTTTGCGTAGAGGCTTAACTCTACAGTCGCCTAGCTGCAACGGCAATTTGTGTATTCTTGATCGCTTGATAATTCTAAATGAAGATTGAAACTTTCAAGAGAATCAGCTTTTACTAACAGCTTTTCGCAGGGGAAGCACATTAAGGCCTTATGTCCGTAGTTTCCAGTCAAACTGAATCGTTCACAATGAATATATTGGAGTTGAGCGAAACGTTTTCTGGAAAACTGCATAATAGCAGTGCAAATAGCACTATTTCAAGCTAATGAAAATTAATTGATTAAATGTACTCATTATTTTATATCAACTCCAGAGCCAGTACCCTGACTCCCACCCGCAGCACAAAAAGCAAAACTCTGACAGCTGAACAAACCAGCCTTATTCAGCATTTTTACCTCATTAATTTTGCAGAATTGACGAGGGGGAGGAAGAAGATGAAAAACAAGCCGTTCCAGGATCAAAGAGGTTATAAACAGCTCCTTTCTTCTGTCTTTCTTTCCTTTTTTTAGTAAAGATTGCTAAATAACCAGGTCATTATCTTTTTCTTGATAATTCTACGAACATTAATGATGTTTTAACTGTTTTTTTTATAAGGAGCAAAAATCAGCACCAAGATACAAAGGAGGAGATTGTGCCAGCAGGGAAGACCCGCGGAGCCAACTGCAACAAACAATGTTCAGCTGACATGATTATTCTAATCTTTTTTTCCTGGTATTGTTGTACTTCAAATTTAAATAAAAATGAATTAGACGTGCATTATTTACAAATGCAAATTAAGCTTAATTCTTGCGTTACTTTATTCAGTTGACTTGTTCATAAATAAGCTTAAAACTAAATTTAATAACCTCTTTTACAGAATGATTTTAAATACGCAAACAATTCACAATCCCTTTTGAAAAAATTTCCCGCAAGAGCTAAACAAATGCCTTCAAAAGTTTTAATTGTCAGCAAGAAAAAGCGACGGCTGCGGCCGTTCGCTCATTGCACGCCAAAATTGTATTTCGTTGAGAAGCGCCGTTTTCATCTGATATGTCACTTGCTATGTTAATATTATTAATTTAACTGACACCTGAGCCAGTGCTAGAATGAGCTGCCCACCAGACCAGCAATATTGGACAAGATAAATGGAAAACCTAGACCCCATCCCCCCTCTCCCAAAGATCAACCATGAGAAAATAGTGCATTTTTGGCCTTCATGCGGCTTCATCCTTGATTTGGGGGATTTGGGGGATAGGGGTTTGCTGTTCCATTTTAATCTTTCCAAGCACAAAACAACAGTTACTGATATCAACAAAATATCACTTTTTTAGGTTTGACAAGAGAGAAAAAGAAAATGGAGACCCAGCCCTTCAAGGGTTTAAAAAAACAACACGGCAACCCGAAAGGTTAGAAACAGCTTCTTTCTTAAGAGGTTTTAAAAAAGAATTCATGGTGTTCAGTCATGGTTTTGGCGTATGATAATGTTTTCACAGCCATACGATGCATCTCTTAACCCGGCCTTATAGAGACGGAAATAATAAATACATAATAAGGAAATACTAATATATATTTTTTTAAAATGTCATTTTTACTTAAGATGAAAAAAAAAAAAAACAGGAAAAAGGCACACATTCATGGCTTGCAGCATTGTAATACAAAGGAGGAAATCCTGCCAGCGAGGAAGACCGGGCCACCATGCAACTGCAGCGAACAATGTTTTGAAAAGGTACAAAGTTAGTTCATAACAAATTATTCAGCTTGGTATCAACCCTGGTGATTTTCTCTTTCTGTTATCCGCCTTGGACCAAACACGTTTCAGAATAACTTTTTGAACAGGATCTGGTCAGACCATTCCAGCATTATGAACCATGGCCACCTTTTGCTAACCGTAAGTGCAATCTATGATCCTACATGCTACTATACTTCTGAAGAGCTCCATGGGAAGAATGTTCAGGAGTTAGTACAGAAGATTCACATTTACATCATGGCTAAATGTAGGGACGCCATTGAAGATCAGCTGTTATACAGTGAAACTAGGCTGGAAGATATAAATGAGCTCAAAAATCCTTCCTCCCAAAAGGTCTCCATTAAGGACATATCCAGGTTCTTTCATGGGGCCAAATCACCCTTTGCCAGAGGTGGAAAGTGGAGAGCAGATTGGTGGTGGCTTTGGGTGCTGTGGATGCACTGGAGCATCAGCCAGCTATATTGACTAGTGATGTGGTTCACTGAGGGCACCACACATTACCCTTGAATAAAGAAGAAGAAAGGTACTGGAAGGTCCAGCTGGAAAAGAAAGAAGAAATTAAGGAGTGCATCCTTTCAAAAACATGGGCAAACTGATAACATAGTGCAAGGGACGGCGCTTACCGGTTCGTGGTTTACTAAAACCTGCATTGGAATCTAACTTGAAAAAAGTACTTAGGGGCATACAGCAAGTTCCAGCACTTTGTTTCCTCTAACAAGAATGCTGCTTTCAAGAGCTCAATTTAGCAAACTATGAAGTGTTACCAATAGAGCCTCTTCATGACCTCAAAGAGCATGTCAACGACATATTTAAAGAACTGCCTCAACACCTCAATGACGAAGAAAAAGTTCTATTTGATGACAATGGAGGCAGATTTTCAGCAAAAGAGAAGCTCTGAGGTTCAGATTACCGCCTTTGCTGTGTTTGTGCTGGCCTTGCACATTGGAAAACACTGCCGTTTAACAATCAAAAGACTATTGTACACTTTTGCAGAACTTTGTGAAATGTTGTATGCCCCAACAGAGAAGCACACACCAAGATTTATTGTGCGTTTGCATAATGTGACATTTTGTCATGTTATTTCAGTTCGTTAAGTCTTAAAAACGTACAGGAAGCTGTGTGGAATACACTACCAAAGCATCACATGCCATGCTCCTCTTACATCTCATTTAATTTCCCTTAGCTCGGTAAACACTGGAGAAGGAGAGAGACAATTCACCATAAATTCCATCAGCAAATCAACCTCCAATGGTCATCCTGAGCACATTATTCCAAACAGCATAATAAGAGTTAAAGCAGAAAGAAGCTTCAGGTCTAAGAAGAGTGCCCTGACACATCAACAGTCAAAGATTGGACAGTTCGCAAGAACCTCTTAAACGTTCCTGACACCTCCATTCCTAATGAGCTCCTGGACAGTAAAATCTATCAGGTCCACCTAGAACAGATCAGCGATTTTCTTCTTTGTGCAAGGGATGTTTTGGTGGCCTGCAGATGAGGAAACCAAGAAATCATATTTCATGACAGTAAAGCAAAACCTGAATTCCGATATGAAGGCCCTCCAATTCACCACTTTCGTTCCTCTTCCTTCCAGAGTGAAAGAGAATACCTCAAAGAGAAGTGGGTCGAATGCTTGTCTTAACCAGATTTTATTCACCAATCAGAAAGGTGAAAATTTATAATCTGCATGGAAATTTAACACTGACAGAATACTACAGGGTTTTCCTTGAGGAACCTTGGCCAGAAAATGGAGGTGACCAAAGTGCAGACCAGCGGATGATCTGTACTGCAATGTGTGATAATGCAAATGGAAACATTCATGACAAAACCGATGGCTTCGTCAATGAACAACAGCAAGAGACTTCACAACTTATTGGCAAAGACCTAACTTTAGATGGAGTCAGACACATGTATTGGCAGTTCATCAGAATGCTTCAATAGAATTAGACAAATCGGAAAGTGTATTTGCAGTAAACAATGGATTTCCACCAATGGATGAAGACTGTAAAACTGAGGCAGTCATAAAATCTCCTTACAAGAAGGGAAAACTGAGAATCCAACTATTAAAACACTGGAAAGTAACTGTACACCTGCAGTGACCTTGAACTTCAAGCATAATAATTTCGTACTACATGTATCAGACCAGCTCCACAAATTTATAGATTTAATCATTTTAATTTTATTTGTTTTGCAAAGAAACACTGTAATCACACTGTAATTAATATTAAACCTTCGAACTCTTTTACTGCAAATACAAAAAAATTAGAAAAACGTGTAATATCAGTGCCCTGACACATCAACAGTCAAAGATTGGACAGTTCGCAAGAACCTCTTAAATGTTCCTGAGACCTCCATTCCTAATGAGCTCCTGGACATTCTCGAAAGTATGAGGAAATTCTACTTGTTACATCTCCTACATAAATAATGCTGGTGGTCTAATAATTGTTAAATGCAATTATGCAATGAAGGATATTTCAAATAACTCGGTTTTCTACAGAGAACTCTTAGAATGGTGGTTAGAATTTCTAAATCTCTTTTTAGCTGACAAAGAACGGCTCTGTATAATTTGGAATAACAAAGATATAAGAATAGATGAAAAACCAGTCTTTTATATTATTTTATTATAATTTAATATTTCATTTTTAGGTGCCTAGAATGAGAGAATGCATGTGCACAAACGATTAGATGGGGAAGAAGCTGCCCCTGATGAAACACGCCCAGAACAAGAAGCAGGAGGTTCTACAAACATCCATGCATTTGGTAGACTTTATCGCACCATCCCTTTAACACATGGGCATGTGGTTAGTTTATCTGTACTTATCAAGAAAGGCGCCTTCAAGAAAGCATCTAGTGGGTTGTCCAACAAACCACTTATGCAAAAGGTATTTTTCACCAAGCCTTTTACTGCCGACATTCTCGAAAGTACGTGGAAATTCTACTTGTTACATCTCCCACATAATATTGGTGGTCTTATAATTGTTAAATGCAATTAAGCAATGAACGTTATTTCAAGTAACTCGGTTTTATACAGAGAACTCTTAGAATGGTGGCTAGAATTTCGAAATCTCTTTTTAGCTGACAAAGAACAGCTCTGTATAATTTGGAATAACAAAGATATAAGAATAGATGAAAAACCAGTCTTTTATGAATCTTATTATGACTCTCGGGTATCTATCATTAAAGATCTCTTGTTCAATCTCGACAATATAGAATCCTTTCAACAACCAGAGTTGAATTAATGGGATACAATTCACTTTGACGCTGAAGATGACTTACTACACAGGTTGCCCAAAGTTCAGTCACTTTCAACGACTTACAGTTCTAATCAGGACTACATGCACCAGAACGATCCTGTTCCATCTAATTATGGCATGACTCCTGGGTTAACCATCCACTGTTTTAAGTCAAAGATAGTTGTTTTTCTTTTATGTCTGCATGGACAATTCGCTCATCATTGTTATGTTTGTAACTACCGTTGTAGTTTATGTTAGATCCCCAGTGATTTTTGATAGCCATTGCAACCACTTTCTACAAAGCAAATACAACAAACTGGTTTTTATGTAAATTCTCAGAGGAATTAGGGAAGTCAGATTTGGACAGATTCCCCTTATCCAAAGTCATAACCTGCATCAAGATTAAGAGTTACAGCATCATCTTCAGATTCTAAAAGATCATCCCCAATACCAGGGACACAATGTGCATCAGAAAGCGGGTCTCCACCTTAGGCCAAACTGTGAAAAGCAGTGAGCTAGTAGGTCACAGTCAGGCCCAGGCACGGAAGCTGTCGTGGATATCGAAGAAGATAACGGATTTCACATCTCAGCCGAATTCCAAAAATTTTGGACCTCTGCAATAAAGCCACTTACCACATATTTTGGGACATACCAAGATGCCTTAAACAGCACGATGACATCTTGCTAGGCAGTAGAAACATTGCAAAGCTTAACAAGACCCTGGAATCTGTGCTGCAGCGAGCATCAGATTCTGGAATCACTTGGAGTAAGTGAGATCGAGTTCTTTGGAGACCAATTCACTAAATATGGATTGAAACCCAATCCAGAGGATCAAAGCTGTTAGAGAGGCCAGGCCACCTGAATCTAAAGAAACAGTCAGGAACTTCCTGGGCACGACTACTCTTCACTCACTGCTACATTGCGCCAGCTCATGGACACCAAGAGCAAGAAGCATTTGAAAAGCTGAAGGCAAGCATTACAAGCAGAAGCACTATGGCGTATTTTGATCCTTCCAAACCAATCGTAGGCAACCTACCATGAAGGGTTGTGATTAGGGTTATTCGAGGAAACAGCCAGCGGTCTCAGACCTGTCCACTTCATAGGTCGCACCATGACTTCACACCAACAGCCAAACAGACAAGGATGCTCTTGCGATTTAATGGGTGAAGAACAAATTTAGTATGTACCTTCTAGGAGCGCCGAGATTCAAAATCATCACTGACAGCTCATACGCCCCTCCTTCCTTTATTCAAAAAACCAGCATCAAACTCCCTCCCTGAATTCACAAATGGGTCATGGGAATGCAGCATGTCTATTTTGTACTCATCTACGAACCAGGCAAAGATCAAGATCTTTAGTTGTTGAAGGGGGCGCAGTTATAAGTGCCATTTTAAGGTATCTCATCCCTATGAAAAATCTTAAAAGCCAACCACTTCTTACACTTGATAGTAATCAGAGAATGAGGACAGTTGAGAACCAATAAGTGTCAACGACCTTTATGAAAATGGAAAACTTAAAAACCAGAAGTTTTCCATTAATGAAGAAGTGAAAGGGACATTGGGTCTTAAACAGTGGCACATACGCCTTATTCCAAAATGGCGACCGCCCGAGACGATCTGGGGAGAGTAGCATGATAACGAGGCATCAAGGGCCGCCAAGCTCATAACAACTATGGCGTCCTTTCAGAACAACATTGTTTACGGTCCTTCGTTTTTCACTGAGGATGATATTCCTGGCAGTTCGTTGGATGGAAGAAATCCGAATCGATTGAAAAATTCCGAATTAAAGTTTTGGTTGAAGTGTCGTGGCGATTCGTGTAAAGGATTGTCAACCAAAGCTCAACTTTGTAAGCGGTAAGTTTCGAGACCAAACAATAAGCTTAGCGTCGTTGCTATGGCCTAGAGTCTCAAATATTTCCATTATTTTACAGGGTAAACGAGTACTTGGAGGCAAACATTACCCACCTCCTTGTTGATCCGGACGAAAATGTCATTTATACCAGGCGTAAAAGACGACTTCTCGGTGGTCAGGATAATTCTACTAATCCAAACTTACCTCCGGTCGACGAGCCACCTCACAACACAAAGAAGGTAGCTTTTCCTGCAAATGGATGGGGAACGTCTCTGGAAAAAAGTCCACTGTTTACCCGTGCAGAAATGGATCGTCATATTTCCAAATCAGGGAAAAAGCACAATAACAGCGCAGATAATCACACGTTGCCCACAGGACTGCGGAAAGCGAAGGGTTTTCTTGCTGATGAATACCTTCATGAGATACAAACCTATCACGATGAAAGGTATTTCTATTATCGCGCCAAGTGTTTTCACAGTTTCAAAACTCGTGAAGAGCCACATAATTTGAAACTTGCACTTTGTATTGTTTCTGGAGAAGTCGAGCATGCATATTGTGGGCCAAGTTGTGCAGCTGGAAAGTCAGGATTCTGCAACCATGTCCTGGCTTTCATGATGAAAGTATGTAAATACTCATTGTTTAACTGTAAGGATGTTCGGGACCTGAGAGATGAAGAAGATGAAAACCCGAGCACAGCATGTACTTCTGCCTTGCAGAGCTGGCACCGATCAAGACTTGACGGGATCCATGCCCAGCCTGTTATGGAAGTAGTGATTTCCAATCCAGTAAACAGTGCTGATAAAAACAAGAAGACTGGGGTGACTTGCCTACTAACCGAAGCAAGGAGAGGAGAAAGTGACACTAATGGAAAACTTAAAAATTTAATTGAATCTCTTGAGCAGCATAGCTCAAAAATAGGTATTACACAAGTTGTCGACACTGCTAGTCTTGATACTTTGCCTACTGTGGACACTCGCTTTGGAAAATGTCCAGTTGGATCATATGGATCATACCAGCTATCCTTCACAGAGTCTAATTTCTCTTACATAAGCTCGTTTGATGGATCTCAAGAGGTTGCTCACTGCACAGCAACTGAATTCCCCGCTTACCCCTCTTTTCCTTTGGATGAATGTAATGGCTCTTTAGTTCCACCAGACAATCTAACTGAGAAAGAGCAGGAACTGCTAAGGAGTCTTAATGTAAATGTTATCAAGGCCAACAAAATAGAAGAAAAGACAAGAGAGCAGGCGGAGTGTGTGGAATGGATGCAAGAACGCAAAAACAGATTTACCGCATCTAACTTTGGGAAAATTTCAAGGAGGCAAAGGAACCATAAGAAGTTTGTTGAAGATCTTTTGGCGCAAAAACCGATTTCTGCTGCGGCATTGGAACATGGCAAAAAATATGAACCAGTGGCCTTAAAAGAATACGAGAAATATCTGCGTAAAGTGGGAAAGCCTGTTAAGGTACTCAAAAGTGGTCTGTTTGTGTCACCTAAAGTTCCAATTTTAGGTTGTTCACCTGATGCTAAAGTCATTGACTTGAGCTGCAAAGACAGCTTTGGAATTGGGGAAGTGAAATGTCCTTCTTCTAAATTTAATGTTACACCCCTTGATGCTTGTGACGACCCTGGCTTCTTCATGGAGAAGAAAGATGGAAAACCCACATTGAAAAAAGGACATGTCTATTACGACCAAGTACAAGGACTTATGGGACTAACTGGTGCCCAGTGGTGCGATTTTATTGTTTATACAAGTAAAGGACTTAGTGTGGAGAGGATCAAGTTTGATCAAGATCACTGGGATACCCTCTGCGAGAAACTGTGTGATTACTACTTTAAATATTTCCTTCCTGTAGCTGCTCTGTAGAAAACTAGAACATTTTACAAGGCGAAAGAGTTTTTCAAGGCTGAGTTTGTGGTGTTGCATTCTCATTTACTATTATTACAATCACTATATGGACAACACTTTAATTTAGATTCCACAGAATTTCTGTATTAGTTTTCAATAATACATATGTCATTATAGCAACAGGCATGAAGTACATGTAGCAGGAGAATATAATTTAATTGTTTTGTCTGTTTAGCTACTTCATGGAGATGCCTTGACTACAGTTGTGTCTTTGTGAGAGAAGGGTGAGGGGAGAGGCTATCACAGAATAATTAGCACATAATAACCCTGAAAAATTCCGAAAGTGTAAATCAACGAAAACAACAATTGGCAAGAGGAGTATAAAACTAAGGTTTTACTGGAGACAGAAGTCTATTTCCAAATCAGTTTTTTTCGGTTTTAAAGGATAACAAAAACTATTCACTAATAATACTGTTTTGGAAATTACAGAGCATAGCACACACTGCCCACATTTGATTTACAACCGTAAAGTTGGTGAATGGAACCACACTGTCCCATATGTGAAAATTTTTAATTTTGTTTATTGCCCTTTCCACATGAATGCGAAGGGCAGCAATCGATTGTGTCTCTACCACTTCCTCAGGGCTCATTTGCCCCTTACTTCCTAGAAAGGGCGGTATATTCAGGGAAACTCCAAGGGGCAACAGATCCTCTACTGTAAATCCCTTATCTGCCATGACAGCATCTCCTCGGTTGAATGGTAGCTTTAAAAATCCAGATCTTGTTACTATCTCTCTATCAGAGAGGTGGCCAGTGTAGAGCTGGCTAACAAAAGTTAGAGCACCTCCAGGTGATATGCCGACCAAACTCTTAAGTGTTGTGTGGTTTTTATATGAACTAAAAAGTTCACTGTTCAGGCGCATGCTCTTGGGCATCTGACAGCGGATCTCAGTGCAGTCAATAATTACTCTGGTTGATGGATATCTCTCTTTAAAATCAGCTGGCATGTGTTTGTCAATTTGAACCCTTGATGGCCACACTGGAATTGTGCTAAATTTTAAATACATAAAATTTATCCATGAAATTATTACTCTACTGACAGTTGTCTGTGAAATTCCATACAAATGGGCCAAATGATCTTCTTTAAATCCTTGCCTCAGTCTGCAAAGGGTTAAAAAATATTCATCCTTCGGAGTTAAATGTCTAGGTCTGCCCTGTTTGGGGGCATCCTCATCATACCTGTTATTCACTGTGTCTGACTCATCGGATTGTGAATGCCAGTAAATTATGTTCTCCCCATTCCTTCCAGGGTCCAGGAATGCAAAAACACTTTCAAATACACTTCTGTTTGGAAATCCTGTATAGAAAGCCACATCTTTATCAGAATCAAACCGGTCTACATGAAATACCCTTGCCTGTAAAACACTGTTCCGGCGTGTCAATTCTTCAACTTCCGATTCTAAATTTTCTTGTCGAACCTTTACTTTACAGAGTTCTTGAACCAGCCGTTCGTTTTCCACTTTAAGGTCGCGGCTTATATCTTGTAATTCTTGGTCGTCTATACAAGGCTCGGAATATGTGCTGGTTGATGTAAGAACCTGACATTCGGATTTCTGTGCTGTAATGCTGACATCGCACGTGGAAACATCTTCAGCGTTCGTGGTTGTGGTTTTTGCTGCGCTTTTTCTCTTAATTGGGCTTCTTCTCGTCGGTGCCTTACGTTTTACCGGGGATCCCTTTTTCTGTGCTGTAATGCTGACATCGCACGTGGAAACATCTTCAGCGTTCGTGGTTGTGGTTTTTGCTGCGCTTTTTCTCTTAATTGGGCTTCTTCTCTTCGGTGCCTTACGTTTTACCGGGGATCCCTTTTTCCAAGGAAATCGAGACGGCACTGCAGTAGCTAGTAAAGTACGCTTACGACCTGCAATTGCTTTGACAATATCTCCCGGCTTAAAATGCCTCGAGCAAACTTTCGTGTGCTCGGTCACTTTAAAATGTTCGCCGACATCTCTTCGTATGGCGGCTATCCATTTCATGAACATATCTCTTTCCTTAACTTGGTCAGGAAACTTAAAGTAAGAAATCTTTTCCCCATCTTCTACATAAACTTTCTTTTTGCATTCAGGAACACAGCAATTTTGAGGCATTTTCTCCGAATTTCTCACGTGCGCGATTAGCATTTGTAAACAGAGAACCGGCCCTTGATGCCTCGTTATCATGCTACTCTCCCCAGATCGTCTCGGGCGGTCGCCATTTTGGAATAAGGCGTATGCGGCCTTTGGTTAGCCTGCCTGATGAAATTATACTTATCCTTTTAAACAAGGTAAGAAGGGATTTGAATTTTCATTTAATTATTCTTAATGCCACGGTTTTATTACAAGAAGCTAGAACTGCTCCTGGTTAAGCTTCTCTCATGCTCTCCAAAGTTCATGTGTGCATCCACAACTCTATACGTACGCTAAGCATGGACCAATGTTCTTAATCTTTATGGGTTCTTCCAGCAATGAAGTCATGTATTTGAAGAAAAACTCAAAAACAGATGTTTCAGTCGGTTTCCAGTGGCCATTTGTGACCCTCAAAGGGACATAAACATATCATCCCCTTACAAAGCCATTTTGTATATTATCTTCTTTCATTTCCCAGATTCTGGACTCAATCTATTCATTGGTTTGCATTTTTACTATAGGTAGTATGGCAGTGAAAGTAGAGATAAAATAAATTATTAAGGTCTACTTTGATTCAGTTGGCTTCAATTATGGCTTATCCTTTGAACAAGCAGCTCTCCTTGGGAATTCACCACAACAAACGTTAAGTATATCTCATTTCCTTATTGTTTTTGACTGTTCACTTTTATGGATAATACCTCCAACATTCTCATTCTTGGTCATTCCTTTGTGAGGCGCTTACAGACATTCCTCACTGAACATCACAATAGGTGTACCGCTCACAACATCAACTTGCCTCACGAAAATGTATCTTTTCAAGGCATTGGCGGTAGAACCGTCTCTAAAATGCTGTCATTTGGTTTGGACAAAATTAAGGCTTTTCAGCCAAAGGTTATCATTTTAGAACTGGGAACTAATGATTTGTGTGTAGTGGGGCAACACCCCGAATCTGTTGGTTCAGATATTGAACATTAAGTTCAAGTCCTCCATGATCACTGTGGAGCAGAATTTATAATGGTATGCCTAGTAATTTACCGGCCTGCTATTCCTCCACACGTCCCCGATTTCAGCCACAAAGTAGACCTTCGGAAGAAATATCTAAAAGTGGTCCTCGAACCACTCCCTTATGCTGAAGCATGGAGCCATAGAGGGCTGCAAAGTCCATCTATTGCTGTTTTATGCTGAGATGGCGTTCATTTGAACGAAGCGGGCAACTATGCTTTTTATCGTAGCTATAGGGGAGCCATACTATTTGCCTTGAAGAAGTTAACCACTTTTTCTGAGGCTCAGTGACAGATTCCAACTTGTCTATCCAGTCATGCATTCTACTTTCGTTGTAACCGTCCTTTATGGCGGACAGGAGAGTTTTATCTTTTGTTATAACACATTGTATTTATTTTACGGACCAGTTCCTCTTTCTGGCACTTAAGGATGTTCAATGAGGCGTATCAAATTTGGAAATTGCCAAACATGCTGCCGATTTTTCTTTTATTGCCGGTTCCGTTTTTTCTCTCTCCAATTTATAATTTGAGCAGAATGCTACTGGATTGGAAACCCCCTACCTCCCTACCCACTCACTATTTCACTATTTTATCTCCCGTGCCAACGCCTTAGGCTTATTTATTCAAGTTCCTTTGCTTGCGGTCTAGATTTGCTAGAAATTAAACCATATTCCACGATGATGACTAGAGGAAAGCGCAGTTCTACTGCAACAGCCTCCAGCGCACAAGTTAAACGCCCAAGGGGCAGCAGTACATCTCGCCCCACCAAGTCCAAGAGGCCCAAGCAGACCTCTTGAGTACACTCGGTTCCTGCCCGAAGTGCCGCACCCGAGCGAACTTTCACGAGAGCTGGTGATCAGTGGGCCATCCTTAGTCTCCAGTCCTGCGGCCCCGTGTTCAGTTGTCTCTCAGGATATGGTTTCCAGCATCACGAGTGCTATTTCTTCGGCTCTACTTGAAAGCCTGAAGTCTGCAGGGATAATCCCTCAAGAGCCAGTACAGACATCCGACCCTGCTGCTGCTGCTGTACAGGGGTCAGTAGCGCAGGTTGTTCAAGACCTAACTGGTGAGGGCCACACTTTAAATTCTACCTTCATTACTAGCGGGCCCGAGATCGACCACAGGCCCGATTAAATCCATACCTTAATTTCCATTCCACTCTCAAGTAGAGTTCCAGACAAAATTCAATCTAAAATACGGGCTAACGAATATATCGATCTCGGAGCTCTTCTATCGTCCTTGCCAGGCGATCCTAAATACAACTTCACGGTAAAATCCTCTGGATCCAACCAGCCTGTGGTCAATCTCGAACCTGTCCAAAACTCTAAGCGCATTTCTAGCATTGATCAATGGACTACCGCATTTCAGGTTTTTGTTGCCGTCTATACCATCCGATTTCCGGACAGCGCTCCCAGATTAATGAAATACAGTGTGACTGCGCGATTTGGTGGCAAAAAACGCTCATTGGCGTTATTATGATGAAAATTTTCGCTATTTACGTCAAAAATCTCCTTTCCCCTGGGCCAAAGTGCATTGGGAATTGTGGTTGCAGGCGCACCACATGACCAAACTTTCTTCCTCAAACAATCCGCCTAACTCGTTTAACCGGCAATCAAAGCAGCCCTTTCCGCGAGGATTCTGCTGGAAATTCCACCAAGGTGAAAGATGTTTTGGGTGTAATTTCAAACACACCTGCTTTAAATGTGGAGGCGATCACCCAGCCACAAAATGCAAGTCGGGAAAACCAACTGCCGTCACCTCTCGCACTGTCGCATCCAGTCTAACTACCAACACCAATCAAAGTAAATAGATTACATTTTTACCTAGATGGCTATCCAACTAAAATGAAAGACTATCTTTTAAATGGGTTTCAACATGGGTTTTTATTAGATTATGTAGGGCCCCACAAACCCTCCAGTGGCAAAAATATTTTATCCGCTACTCAAAACCCTGCAGCTGTTTCCGATAAACTGTCAAAAGAATTAAGTCTAGGTCGGATTGCAAGGCCATTTTTAGAACGACCTTTTCCTTCATTATGCATTTCTCTGCTTGGTTTTATTCCTAAAAAGACCCAAGGAGAATTTCGCCTTATTCACCACCTATCTTTTCCTTACGGTGATTCTATTAACTCTTGTATTCCTAACGATGCCTCTAGGTTAAATATGCCTCGATTGATGATGCGGTTAGACTTATCAGGTGCACAGGCAGGGGCTGTGCCCTAGCTAAGACAGATGTCAAAAACGCTTTACGTCTAATTCCAATAAATCCATGCGACTATGATTTGTTAGGTTTTTGTTGGGAGGACAGCTTCTATTTTGATAAGTGCCTGCCGATGGAGGCCAGTTCCTCTTGCAAAATTTAGGAAAGCTTTTCAACCACTCTCGAGTGGATTGCTAAGTCTAAGTTAGCCATCTCAGGTGTTTAACACCTTTAAGATGATTTCCTTCTCATAGACAAAACTTTCTCAGCTTGTGAACAAAATCTGTCTAGGTTTTTAGCGATGTGTGACGACTTGGGTGTCCCCATGGCGCATGAAAAGACAATGGATCCCAGTAGTTTTTTACGTTTCGCCGGAATAGAACTAGACAGTGACAAAATGGAGGCTCGCCTCCCAGAAGAAAAGCTAAGAAAATGTGTTACTCTTATTTATGAATTTCTCAAGCGTAAAAAAGTCTTCCTTAAGGAGATGCAATACCTTATTAGTCTTCTGAACTTCACTTGTTCTGTAGTCATACCTGGCAGGACTTTTCTTAGACGAATGATTAATTTGACAGTTGGGGTTAATTGCCCGACTCATTTAATTAGATTAATGCATATAGTCAAGGACGATCTTAAGCTCTGGTTAGAATTTTTAACACACTTCAGTGGCAAATCATTCTTCTTAGATTTTCAAAAACACATTACCCAACAATCAATTTGGTCGAACTTCCTTCGCACCACTCTCCACTATTTGCATGCTCAGAACAGGCTACCATTTTAACAAAGAGGATGGATACACAAGGCAATTATCTACAGCGTTTGTACCCTTTTTCAGAAACAATTTTCCAGGACTTTTTCAGGCTTCAGATTGATCTTTCCAGGACTCCAAAGTTCACCTAAACCCTTTCACTCACAAAAGTGACAAATAATTTATTTCTACTTGCAATTTCAACACATTATCAAACATACCAATGAGAACAATCAATAATATATATAATATCAAGTACTTTGATTGAACACTTAATTCTCAGAAGTAACAGAAATCAGTGGCTGATAATAAGTAGAATTAATGTTCACATCTTGGGATTGAAAGGGTAAATTATTTTACAGCTGTTGGAGCTTTCCATCCAACTGCTGTTCAATGTTTTTCAAGGCTGCCCTTTTTTCCTTGGCAGATCTTCGCAAACTGTTTGACTTAGCAACCCAAGTAAGGTTTCTTGAATCTTCAGCCCTATTAGCAAATTTTTAAACTGCACATCAATCTAATCCATTGTCGCCTTTCTATTAAGCATTTTTTCCTGGGGCACTTTAACTCTCTTCTGCTCTTCTAGGAAAGATACTTCTGTACCACGACAGCAAATGACATAAGAAGTTGCTTTGATATTTGTACATTGGCAAGGCCTCCAACTGATTCAATATGATCATGAATAATCCTCTGTGCAATGAACGATCTTTCTGACAGGTTCTCAACTACCACTTCTTTGTTGACAGAAAAGCCTCGTTCAACTGTGGCTTGACCATGAGACATTAGCAGCAGTAATTCAACCACTCTCCACACTTTCACCAGTTGCTTATCACCAGCCATGTGTTCATACAATAGCGTGTCAACTCTTGAAAAGGGTTCACTGGGGTCAAAATCTTCGAAGTCAGGATTACCTGCACATTCATCCAGAAACTGTCCAAACTGATATATCACCTCATCACACTCATCATCCTTCAATCTGTGGGCTTCCACAAGAATTTCCAGAACTCTTTTCATTTTGTTAACACATCGTTCTTTCTCTGATGCCATTAGCCTTGGATACAGACAAGACATATTTCTTACCAGCCGATAATTCATTGGTGTTTTGTCAAGCAGTATAGAAGCTGTTTTAGCAAGAAAATCTTTACATTCCATTCTGAATTGAAGAACTTGCCTTTCACTCAATTTCCCAGACTTTTCTTTCACCATCTGTTGTGCCACAAAGCCAACATCAACTTTCTGGTAGTCTAACTGCTGTTCTTTATCAGAAGGCTTTAACCTCAGGATCTTCAAAGGAAATGTTGCCTCAGTCACAAGTTCACCCTTGATAAACCTATTACATAACGATTTCAACAAAGTGCACAATCTAATACTCATGATTGGCAGCATAGATTTATCAGTCTGAAATGCTGTGAGAAAAGGATTGACCTGTTTTACCACTGATGGGAAGAAGGCGATCTTTGCAGTCATCATGTGACCACAGCAACTACTACTGATGGTCTCATAAGATTTGGATTTGGGATCAGTCACTTTCTTTGCCTTAACAGCATCAACATATTTGACAATATGAGGACCTGGACTGAAAGTAAGCATCTTCAACTCCTAGAACTGATTGGCCGTTGTTGTATAAGACAAACTTGGACGTGAATTGGAACACTTTAACTGGGCTCTGTTTAGTAGCATTTTATCGCTGACAGCCATACAAATCCTTTTCAGTCAATTTGCAAATCTGTTTACTTTACAACCGAAACAGATAAAACTTGCAAGGTACGTATAAATGCAGATTCAGTAGTTAAACAAAAATACTAATAGAATTGATAGGGTGTCGGCGAACCAGAATGCCTGTAGGACAGTTTTTTTTTCAGCTTTCGATCTTTTCTCAGTCCTTTCTCTGTAATGAACGTGAATGAAAATTGTCTTGATATTTTTTAAGTGTCACCTCTCACCGCACAAGTCAATTTGAAATTTCCGGCGATGTGATATTAGGCTATCATCAGTGAAGTGGTGTTTGTGAAGGTAGTGAAGCGTTATGTGAACATGGGAGCAAACCAGTTTGTCAAGGAATTCCGAAGAAAGTGGCAGTGAGAAAGGCCATGGCTCACAGAAAAATGGTCATGGCCAGGAAGGACAAACAACTCCAACAAGACTACCTCTAAATGAGATCATCACTGACCGTTCAGATCTAGGCTGAGAGCAAGCCCTCCCGAGACGCAGGGGTGGTGGAGGGAAAAAGGGGAGGAGAGCTTGCTCTTGCGTCTCATAAATTTGAATATCTGCATCCCCAAATGGGATGCAAAATGCTGATTAGTTGATTGTTAATCACATGATGAAGTAATTTCCTTTTGTGCCCACTTTGATAAAGCAAAAAACAAAAATTGGTATTGGAAACCTAGTGAGAATTTCTCACAAAATCTAATATTTGCATTGGATTTAGACCTGAACAATGCCAGGAAGTGGAAGCATTGCTTCGAAGAAGAGTTGTACTTACTGTTTTGCAACTAGATATGGCAGAAGCTTAATATTTCAACTTTTCACTGCAGAAGCTGCCATCAAAATGAAGTGGCAGTAAACAGTCTTAGACGTCTGCCCATCGAGGAGTATCATCGAAGACCAAATTGAAGAGGTAGAAGCATGCACATTTCTGCCACTTCATTGGCAGAATTAACTGAAGATGAGTTCAAATCAGCTGCCATTCAAGTCTTGTCTGAGGTACTATACGAAAAAAATGCGAGTTTCTTGAGAAATTGTCCGAAATTTTTTTTTGCTCATTTTCACATCTTCAATGACTTATTTTTCATCCAGCATAATTTTTTTGCCAGTATTTAATTGATATAGAGAAAAACTGTAATTTCCTAAAAACTGTCGCTTTGTTGTCATGATAAAGGGTTTATTTACGCGTCATTTTGGAGCCGAAGAATCCTTGTTTCCAGGGCCAAAATAGGGCCAAAAGCTAGTTTTTTTGACCGACGATCATCTATTGGAAGACTGGTACCCAACAGTCTCGATTTCATGTGCATGCGGTAAACAATCAGCCATTTCGCAATTGTGAAGTTGTAAATCTTCGCAATTGAACACTAGTTTGACGTACAAAATGCCGAAATTTTTGTCTCAAAGACGCAAGAAAAGAAAATTTTATGGAAATCAGTTTACTAGTAGGCAAGGGGTGAATGAAGAAGAGTTAGTGCCGGTGGAAAGCACTTCAAGTGGATCGGTAGTGAGTTCTTTGCATGGTCAAGAGGAAGCGAAGGAATGTTCAGCCTCGTATCAAAAGCTTGTGACAAATGCTGAAGACAAGAAGCCTGAACCAAAGGTACAAGATAAATATTCAGAGGAAGATAGTCCCACTATCACCGGATTTAGATTTTTCGATATGGAGGTGCTGTCATCTGTTTTTGAGCAGCTACGGTGTGGCGATTGTGGCAATTTCAGTCTTATGTTGATGGAAGATAGCACAAAGCGGAAGGGATGTGCCTCGACTTTGTGCTTGTTGTGTGAACACTGTCGCTGGAAATTTTCTTTCTGTACTTCAAGAAAGCAAGGAAAGAGCTATGAAGTAAATCGGCATCTTGTGTATGGCATGAGAACTATTGGCAAAGGTTATGCTGGAGCAAGAAAATTCTGTGCTATAATGAACATGCCTTCACCTCCAACTGAGAAAGCTTTCATTTTCAACTCATGAGTCATCGGCCAACACGTCAAAATAATAGCAGAAGAGAGTATGAAGAAAGCTGGTCAAGATGTTTATGCTCTCAAAAGCCAAGGAACTCCATCTGCAACTGGACCAGTTAATAGTGGCATTTCATGTGATGGCACATGGCAAAAGAGAGGTTATTCCTCACGTAATGGCTGTGTCACTGAGATATCCATGGACACAGGAAGGGTGCTTGATCCCCTTGATGTAGAAGCCCTTAGTCAAGGATGCAAACAGTGTTAGCGCCATAAACGCTTGGATAAAGCTTCTCTTGAATACCAGACTTGGAGAGCTGAGCATACCAAGTGCAAAGCAAACTTCCGGGGATGAGCACCAGCCATGGAGCCAGAGGGAGCAGATCGCATATTTCAGAGGTCTGTTGAAAAACACAACCTCGGATACACTGAATTTTATGGTGATGGTGACAGTAAGAGCTTCACAAGGGTGAAAGGAGTTTATGAAGATGATGGAATAGAAATGGAAAAGAAGGAATGCATTGGTCATGTCCAGAAGAGAGTGGGAACTGTACTTCGTAAATTAAAGCGAGAGAACCCAGGCTTAGGAGGCAAGGGTAAACTGACGGATAGTCAAATAGACAAACTTCAAAACTACTATGGCATAGCCGTAAGATCAAATGTTGGAAATCTTGCTGGCATGAAGAAAGCAATTCATGCTAGCCTAATGCATTGTGCATCCACTGAGCAATGCCCCCTTCATGACCACTGCTCAACAGCCAGTGCAAGCTGGTGCCGTTATCAGCAAGATAAGGAAAATCAGACCAAGCTGTACAAACATTGACCTGGCTTACCTCTTGAGGCAATAACAGAGTTAAAGCCGGAATATGTTAGACTCAGCAATGACATTTTACTGGAAAAATGCTTGTATGGTAAGACGTAAAATCAGAATGAATCATTAAATGGAATGATCTGGCAGAGAGTCCCAAAAGAAGTTTATGTTGGAAGGGAAACACTAGAACTATGACTGTATGATGCAGTTGCTCATTTTAATATTGGAGCAGTTACTGTTATAAGAATTTTCCAAGCCTTCAACATTCCCCCTGGAAAATATACAGAAGAGGGTTGTAAGCTTCTTGATCAGCTACAGGTGGATATAAACCAAGGCAAGCACCAAAAAGAGAAGAAAAGTCATAAGAGGACTAAAAAAAAGAAAAGAGGACAAAAACAAAGAGATGGTGTGAACTATTCCTCTGGACAGTTCTACAGAGTTGTCTATGTAGAAACTCTGTTACAGTCATTGCAAATTATATTTCTCAAACGTTAAACCATTTTTTATCATAATTTTATATTTTGCGGAACTATGAACACTCTAGCAATCATAACTTTTCATGGTTTTATTCAATTCTTCTCATTTTTGGAGTGCGAAATCTTTGTATGTTTTTACATAAAATGAACTACAGTCATTTACCTTGGTGTAATCTTTGTTGTCTGAGGGCCCAAAACTGGATCCTTAATTCTAGTCAGGTCTCTTAAGGTCAGGATCGTTACAGAGTTGACAAAAGCACCAAACTTTGCACAGCGATAGCTTATTGCATTATCATGAATATTAGAGGGGGTGCCCGATGCAAATATGCCACTGAAGCATGCTAAACAGGATTTAATTATTGTAAATTTCACCTGCTGGGGCCCCTGTGGTGTTTGGATTGAAAATTGTTATTTAATACCTTTAATCACTCAGAATGCTCTTCTCGTGTTGTAAACAACAATTTCACTCGATCATCTCGCATTCCCATCCATTATTAGCTTATTGATTGTATAATTAAGTTGATTATTACTGTGCCCTAAAGCAAGTCCACAGTCCGCCCGCATTTTCATAAGTCATTTCTAAGACGGCCTCGTCTTTGCTTCATAACTTGCAAGTACTCAGCTTCTGGGGTTCTCTCCTCCTTTTCTAATGTATTTCAATTAGAGGAGGCCTTATTGTGTGGCTTAAGCCTTATTTATCAAGTATTACTTGTCATTACATGTTACTTTAAGCTAAAGAAAGCGTATGGCATAGCGATTCACACACAAAATTTCAGAAAAAAAGAAATTGTCAAAGAGTCTGTTGTATCACATATTATCAGGGATTTATGACAGCTGCTCATGAACATTAAATAACGAAATGACAGAACCCAAAGTAGTTCTTTCTTAAGGGGGTAATTAATTTTTCAGCTTAACATAGGCCTGGATGCCTTTCAGTCTCTCTTTATCTGCTGGACGCACGTGCATGTTTTGACAGAGAAGAAAGCATCGTGGCACAAGTCATATCATTCCCGCAGTTTGTCTAAGCTTTACAAAGCAAAAATAAACAAAAAAGAATCTGGTCTCATAAACGAAAAAAAAGAAACAAGTTAGCCCAAGCTTCAAAAAACATTACGGTTTATCATGAAGCCTCTACATTTGGTACTGAAGCACTCATGTCCAAAAATAATAACAGCTTATCAAGTCGTAAAAGTGAGACTCAAGTGGTAAAAGATTGACTCAAATGATAAATGGTGAATGGTTTAACTGCTGAAACTGTAGAAAGGGGGTCGGCCTAACTTTTAGGGCCTGTTTATATGGAGGAGGGGGACCCCAGGTAAGCATGGTAACCCACTTACGTGGGGTAACCCGCCTGTCCATATAATCTCTCATTTTAATTTGATCACGTTTACATGATCGGTGGGGTGACCCTTGAAGGTGGGTAGCCCGGTCTTCCACACTGGAAAACCCTCTCAGCTGTGGTCAAATTTTGCCATGTCAACGTTTCAAGGTGAGGTAACCCAGGCTAGTCGGGGTTGGATTCGTGATACATCAAATTCGCGCAAAATTCACTTTGGCGCCGGGTGGCTTCACCTAATTATTAAAGGTAGAAAGCCACAACACTGAAGGTTGCAGCAAGAGCAGCAAGTGAGCGTAAACGTGGTTTTCCAGCATTTGTCTTGTTTACGTGCTTAGCGACCATTCAATAATCTTGAGAAAGTGAACCCCAGGATGGCGGGGTTGTAAGATTGCATGTAAAGGAGGGTTATTTTTTTACCCCACCTAAGCAGGTTACCTCACTTACCTGGGCCACCCACCTTTATGTTCATGACAGGCCCTAAGTCTCAGGAACCGTCAAACTGGTAATAAACGGTATAGCTAACCCGAGACTAGCTGTGATACCACTTCCATCTTCAAAAACGTCAGCATGGCAGCCAAAGGAGCCATTATATCGGTGTAACACCAATATCACATTGCCGTTGTTTCATGCGTCTCGTTTTGTGACTTTCCTTGTGTTCGTTTTTGTCACCATCTCTAAATTTCAATCATGTTCAAAACACCGCTACTAACAAAATATTTCGTAGAGCTATTTAGAATGATATTAGCAATAAAAACAAGGTGTGACCAGGAGCTGATTCCTAGGCTCCTGGTGTGGCAACATAGGCCAAAGTGAATGTAAAGTTTTGCGGTATGTAATCTGTCAGAAATCTGTTTGAGTGGTTAAACTTGGGGTTGGTGGGCTTCTTGATCATGACCACTCCATTATTATAATGGACCAGGTCATAATTATTGTTGACCCTTGCCTTTTTTGGTATTTTCTGTAATTTTCCACAGCATTATTTTGTGAAAAGTCGGAATTGCTCTTGAGGAATTCATGATTGTAAGATTTCGTAACCACAGGGTATTTGCCTAATTGCATGAAACAAATTACATTCATTTTCATAAATGATGCATCGTTGGTTGGCTAAAAGAGGCCATGTTCCTGTAACTTTCAGCTCTTCTGAAGTTAGTTTGTTTGTAAACGCACGCGACGACCTTCCTTTTTTGAAAGATCGTGTAGACCTACCATTAACACTCTGGTGCGAGGGCTCTGAAGTGAATGAGCTCCTTACAGGTGTCTAGGCATGCAGGGACCTCATACACTGCTTTGTAAACGCAAATGTGTAAAAAATAAAGAGTGTTAAAAATTCCTGGAGAGCCATGTTTTACAACCTCGTCCCCAGGGCGTAATAAAAAGGTAGAAAAAGGTAAAGCAACCATATTTTATGTCAATAACCCGTGACAGTAGTAATAACTGATAAACGTGAGTTCGACGGTACGCTCCTTTTGCCCCCCTCTCTCCATTAATGCTCCGTTTTAAGGGTATTTAAAGCTATTCAAAGCTACACAGAAAGGAGAGAAGTTGAAATATGGATGTGATGACACCGGGGATCGAACTCGGGACCTCGCGCACCGAAGGCTGCGCACTAACCAACTGTGTCACCCTTGCTCCTCCTTTTCCCCCTGAGGACGAGGATGACATGTTTTTATCATTATCTCAAGGACAGGGTTACCAACGAAGCAAACTATAATATTTTCTTAGCTGCACAATTACAAAGTGGGCGCGTTGTCAGTTATGGTTCATGAGGTCGTTCATGTGGCATGTCAAAATTTAACGATTCTATCGTTTAGGATGTGATACATTTGGGTTTTATGTTATTGTATGACATCTTTGAAAGCTGGTTTTGTGATCTGTTTAAATTGATATGTAATGATATTATCACTGGCAAGTCTTAGCAGTGACACTGATAGCCGCACAGTGAACATGGCCACACTTACCGTGTGGAGATTGGGCACTAGTCAGTATTATATACATGTAAAAACTATTTTGAATAGTGTAACAACAACTAAACATTACCAAATTAAAACTTAAAAATTTGAAACAACTGTTTTTTAGCCAAATCAAACAAGAAGAGTACTCACCACAGGCCACCCAATCTGTTATTATAGGTGAAAGTTAACCCCCCCTTTTATCTGTAATTAGGACCGTTTGTAACGGGCACCCCCTCCAGTATTAATCGGCAGGTGCTAAGGAAGCTCTGTGCCAAATTTGACACTTTTGTCACGTCTGTAACGATCCAGCCTATATTTTGCACTAAGAGACCTGACTATTCAGTTTATTTTGATTGTCAATATGCTTATTGCAATAATTTTGTATCCATTCGCCTGATAAGAATGTCTTCAGTTCATTGCATAAAAAAGAATTGGTAGATGAAATTCCAAAAGTTTCAGCAGTTTTCCTTGTAATGTCTTGGAGATAGAAGTGTTTTTCCAGGGGGTTTATTTTTAGCATTAGATGTTGCTATGGTAACTAAACAAGTCAAAATGTATAAAAATATACTCATCTCATGCTATAGTTTAAGAATACCTGGGAAAACTTGTGCAAAAGAACATATCAAAAAATGGTGATTTTTTAAGACTTTACCACCTTACTCAGGAACAGATTACTCAACATTACATTGAAAGAAAATGGCTCTGCTCTTCACAGAGATTTGGTGGGTGTTGTCATGGACGAGTGTTACAGAGTTATGTGGACCAGAAAAAGGTAAATTGGCATTAACTATGAGTTTTTTCTTCATCTCGAAAGCTTATCAATCACTCCGATATGATGTTTGTTTTTCATACTTTAGGTTGGTCAGTAAACAGGAAACACAATTCTGCAGCTGCCACCTTTTGTGAGGCATTTGGAAAATAATCGACCCTCTGATCGTTTTGTAAGCTGGGTAACTTGAATGTTTATTCTCAAATCCTACTGAAGGCTGAAATTTCAGTTTTCTGCATTATATAAGAACAGATAAAAGCCCTTCTGGTCTTCATCTTCATGAAAATAGTGAGGACTGTATACAGTATTCTAGATGTGTTCGGATTTTATCTTTTATATATATTTAGATGTAATTTCATTGGATACACATGAATTTATACCAGCTATACTTACTGTACAGCTGATTCATTCTGCAGGGTAAATTAAGTTTTTACTTTTTAAACTACTGTATTGTTATTTTACATATGCATGTTGAG